TCTCAGCAGAACAGCCATTCTTTGATCATTCTCCTCATATATTCCTTTTTTTCTTATTGAAACTTTATTAAGCACTGAATATTGTAAAAAATTCATTTAGAGTAGCAATATTATAAGTACTATTTCATCAGTCAGGGTGAGTTTTACAATAGTAATAATTTAAAAGCAGAATATAATCACAGTAAGCAATTAAAGATGATCAATCTGTGTGGATACATGTTATAGCTCAAATTTGGCATTTAATTATATTTCTCTTCTCCTTCAGGCAAAATTCTCCTTTAGAATTATTTTTTGAAAAGTCCTTATAGTTTTGTTATTAAGTCTAGAAGACTTTTGGTGGAGTTCTTGGGGGTCTTCCACATAGAGTATCATGTCATTGCAAATAATGACCATTTAATTTCTTTGCTTTCTATCTTTATTCCTTTTATTTCTTTCTCTTGTCTAATTGCTGTGGCTAAGGTTCTCAGAACTAGGTTGAACAGGAGTGGTGATAGTGGACATCCTTGTCTTGTTCCTGATTTTAGCATGAAGGATTTCAGTTTCTGACCATTTAGTATAACGTTGGCTGTTGGTTTTTCATAGATGACTTTTATCAGGTTGAAATAAAGATCATCTATTCCAATTTTCTGTAGGGTTTTTATCATGAATGCATGTTGGATTTTGTCAAATGCTTTTTCTGCATCTATTGAGGTGATCATATAATTTTTGTCCTTGGTTTTGTTAATATAGTGTATTAGTTATTGATTTGTTTATGTTGAACCTTCCTTGCATCCCTGGGATGAATCCTACTTAGTCAGGGTGTATGATCTTTTTGACCCTCTGTATTCTGTTTGCCAGTATCTTATTGAGGATTTTTGTGCTATGTTCATTAGGGAGATTGCCTATAATACTCTTTTTCAGGTGGGTCTTTCTCTGCTTTTGGGATCAAGGTGATGCTTGCTTCCAGGAATGAATTGGGAGTATTGTTTCCCTTTCAATTTCATTGATGAGTTTAAACACAAGTGGCAGAAGTTCTTCTCTAAATGTCTGTAGAATTCAGCAGCAAAGCCATCAGGACCGTTTTTATTGTTTTTAATTTCATTGATTCATATTGGGGTGTTTAGAATTTTTAGGTCTTCTTTGTTCAATTTAGGTAATTCATGTGTATCTAGAAATCTGTCCATTTCTTCTGTGTTTTCCTTCTTATTGATGTACAGCTTCTCCAAGTAGGTATTGATGTTCCCCTGGATTTCTGCTGAGTCTGTTGTAATTTCACTATTTCACTCCTAACTGCATGGATTTGGGCCTTTTATTTCCTTTTTGATGAGAATGGCTAAGGGTTTGTCAATTTTTTTTATTCTTCTGAAGAACCAACTCTTTGCTTCATTGGCTTTATTGCTCTCTGCTCTTCCTTCATGGTATGCTTTACTTCTTCCCCACTCCTCCCTCCCTCTCTTCCGTCCCCAGATGTCCCCAGACGCCCTCCCATCTCTAAGTCTCCTCCCCTGTGTCCTCTCTTCTGTCCTTTAAATCACTCACACTTTGGTGTCTCATATGAGAGAAACCATGTGATACTTAACCTCCAGGGTCTGTAAATCTCTGTTGTTTATAAATTACTTGACCTGGCATATTCTGTTGCAGTGGCACAAAATGATCTAAGATAGTAAGTAAATGATTAAACAACACACTACACTGTATGCACACTAAGATAAATCTATCTAGATAATATTCTTAGGGACAAGAGACACTGCTTTCTATCTAGTTGTCTCCTTTTGTAGAAGGGAAATCAAAGTCATAAACCAGAGAGAGAGAGAGAGAGAGAGAGAGCGCATGAGAGAGAGGGAGGGAGGAGGGAGGGAGAGTGTCTTTGGTGGTGGAGACGGTTAAGGACATGGGCAGACGGTCTCCAGCCCTGGGGAGGCTGAGTGAAACAAGACGCTCTTATTGCATCCTCCAGGCTCTGCCTGGCTCCTCTACGGCCACCCTTCTGTCTTCCTGCTCCACCAGGGACCCCTCATATTCTCCCCAAGACCACTTCTTCCTCCTCCGTGCCTACTGGCGTCTCTTTCTGCCCCTCCTACTTGTGCATATTTCCCTGCAGGCAGCCTTCTGTCTACACAGCTCTGTGTCACTAGAGTACGTTTATCCTGCTTATTCTCCTTCCCAGCACTTCTCTCTACCTGGAATTACAGGGCCTCTCTATTGCCTGTGCCATGAGAATGCAACCTTCCTGAGGGCAGAAAGTAAACTTGATGAAAACATAAGTGCTTCCCCTTACGAAAGAAACCTGAAACAGATCTCCTACTCACCACGATCCTGTATCGTACCTGCTCTACGAGCTTCATTTCATCTTCATAATCGCCTGCCTAGAATAGTGATATTATCACCATTTACCAGAGGGAAAATATTTACACAGATATTAAATATCTGGGACAGGTTTCCAGCTTTAGTATCTTTTGGCTTTGGACCTTGAACTAAAAACAATGTAAAAGAAATGGGATTTCAAGGCAGGGAAGCAACAGGATTGCTCCCAGGTACAAAGTGGAAGAGTGAAAGCAGAATGTTGGGGTCCTAACTCTCGGGGAACAGATCACAGGGAGAATTTTCACAGAGCAGAAAAAAATGTGTCAGGTTGTCTAAGATCAGAAGAACTGAACGTGCAGTAATTTCTTTAAAAATATTTGCTTAATTGATGCAATAATTGTTCATACTGTTATCCAGTCAGTTAAGCATCATGTCTGAATATAAACTTACGGGTTCTTAGTGGACAGTGCTTTAAGAGCTCTTCAGGACCTGGCTTCCTGTTTCCTTGGGCAAATACCTGACATGTTCAAGACAAAGAACTCTCTTGTAATACCAAATACTCCAGCAGTGAAGCTGTGTTGCCTTCCCTTTGGTCAAACAAATTCTTCCTTCTTTCATTTTGCCTGTAGTTTGTTTTCTATGAAGTTTTCTCCTTTTCTTCAGTGTTTTTGTGAAGTACAAAGATCTGTTTCCTCATTATAACTTGTAAGATTGTCTTTTTCTACACAGTTTTACTGGCAGTGAAACGACTCTTTGATTTTCAGTAGTCAGTTCCTCTCTTGCCATGAACCATAAAGTTTATCTGGCCAAAAGGTCAGAGAGAATTTCTCTTATTCCTTAAGAAGCTGGGAAATTACTAGCTGGTTCCTGGAGTGCTCACATTTTCTCGGTTATCACTTAAGTAGACTTGACTATGCGTTCAGAGAGTCAAACACAGGCAAGACTGCAGGATCAAATACAAAATCACCAAATTGTAGGCCTCATATGGAAGTCAAACACATTGTGGTAGCCTGAGTTTGGTTAAAGCTAAGTTCTCTGCCAGGCTTTGACTCACATGAACAGATTATGAGCCAGTTCTACACAAAATACAAGTGGCTTGTTTGCCTCTTGACATTTACATGGAAAAGCCATAGTATAGACTGACTCAAATTAAGTTGAATGAATGAAGCTTCCTATGGGATTAACCAAGTGTGTCTAGTTTTGGCCCAAACATGTTTTGTGAAAGTTTTGTAAAAGTGATATAGTAATTAAGACTGCTAGCAATGGATCTAGTCCATGCAGAAGCACACTAACCACAAATACTTCTTTGGGAAGGTTGCCTAGCAATTCTTGTCTCTAAAATCCCTTATGAAATCCCAGAAGCATGGAATGTAATTAAAAGCAGTGTTTCCCAGGTGACCAGGGCTGTCTGTACAAACCAACATGTGGTTCCGCTGGCCGGCTCGTCTGTTTTCTATGGTTGCTCACGGTGCATTAGCAGCCAGTCAGGCCAGTTGTGGCCTCCTCAACTCCGGCAGACGGTTATGAATGCCACGTTTGAGAAAAGCCCCCGTTTGGGAAAACGTATTGGGTCACATAAAATGGGATTAAATGGACTCTTTTTTGGGAAAGCGTTCGGTAGGTAGAAAGGAATGCCGAGGTGACTCTGGGGTTTGGCAGAGCCATAGATGCCCCTTTCTGGTGGAAACACACTCCCTGGGCTGAAAGTCACTGCATGGGGGTGGAGGGTGGGAGAGCTACAGGAAGGGAGCTTCAGCCGAGTCCCATCCTGACCTTTGGATGGATGTTCGGAGTGCAGAGCAAGAAGCAGCCTGCAATTTCAAAAGAGGCCCGGGCGAGCTTGGCTACACCGGAGCTGAGCCCAGCAGGCTTTCTCCAGTGTTCGACCTGTGGGATGCAGCGAATGAGTGTGTGACCCATTTATCTGGTGTCTACAGCATTTACCGCAGCAACTTCACTTCATCCCAGCTCTGTGGTTCTAAACAGAGTTATAAAACTCATGCATTTCACTGCAAATGCCAGGGCTCTGTATCCACATGATCTGGGCTAGACAAGATGGGGTCTTGCAGGGAGGTGTGCCCCAGTGTAGAGCAGCATGTGTGGAATCCCTAGGGGTAATCAGAAACTGCTGTGGGAGCCTGGATTTCTGAGGACAGAGGAGAGGTGGTTCAGGACAGAGCCAGACTCCAGGTTTAGTTAGGCCCTGTCTCTGTCTGGGCTGTTATTATAAAACACACCGAGATTGGGTAGTTTACAGAATTTTTGCTCCATAGTTCTGGAGCCTGAGAAGACCAACATCAAAACAGCAACACTTTTTATTTTTTTTCTTTTTTCCACTACTGGGAACAGAACCCAGGGAACTACATCCCTTACCCTTGTTATTACTATTTTGAGGCAGTCTCATTAAATTGCACAAGCTGGCTTCAAACTTGCAATCCTCCTGCCTCAGCCTCTTGAGCAGCTGGGATTGCAAGTGTGCACCAGGATGTCCGGCTTCATGGCATCAGTATCTGGTGTCCAGTGAGGGCCTTCCTGCTCTGTGCTCCCATGGCAGAGGGCAAAAGCACCTAGCCAGGTCCCTCCAGTCTGATCCCATTCTTGAGGACAGAGCTCGCATGGCCCAATCCTCTGCAAAAGCCACACCTCTTAGAGCCATTGCATCAGAGCTAGGTTTCAACACAGTCCTGAGGATCTCACAGTCAAGCCAGGGCAGGAACTGCAAGAACTGGGATTCAAGCCCCTGAGAAATGATCCTCTATCCTCCCAGCTCTGTCATGATAAACTGTGACTGTAGAACTATCTTCCTGTCATCTCCACCTCCTGATGGGGAGGAAGCAGCAGAAAGCTGAGTCCCATGAGGTAGGTATGACAAAACTATTTGGATTTCTTCACAGGAGAAAAGTAAGCAAAATTGCCATGTGTTTTTGCTGTAATTTTACTGCATCAAGACCTAAATTTCAAAAGCAATTAAAGGGCTTACATTTCCTTCATGTATTGAAGTCACATATTTGACATAATTTGCTGATCAGGTGAGTCTAATGGAATTAACTCTGTAAAAGTCCTAAACCACTACACAAAATACTGTGTTGTTGTTTAATAGGATGAGATATATTCATGTTGTTTTCAAGTGTTTTGTTTTGTAACCTAGTATTTAGTTTTGCTTCTGCCCTTTAATATTATATAACACATTCTTTTTAAAAACCAAACGCTTTAGTGTATGAAGCACTAATTTCACAAAGTTTAAAAAGAGCTAAGTAAAAAGAGTAAGCTAATATTGTTTATTGCTATACATTTTTGCTTTCAGACAGGACAAAAGACAGAAGTGGAGCTGGGTCTGGTGGTGCACCCCTGTGATCTCAGCACACTGAGAGACTGAGGCAGGAGGGTCACAAGTTCCAGCCCAGTGTCAGCAACTTTACAATTTGAGGAGGTTGTGTTAAAATGGAGAGTAAGAGACCGGTCAGGGATGCAGCTCCGAGGAAAGGCCTTGCATTCAATCCCCAGGAGGAGGTAGGGGAGAAAACGAGGGACATGCTCCCTTCAGCTGGAAAAAAAATATTCTTACGTCTCCAGAGGAAAAGTCCTTCACACTGCTACCTCAGCAGAGCTTGTCCCACCTCAGCACCACGTTTCTAGGAGTCGCCAGCCCTGCACGTTTATGCTACCTGCATGGATGACGGACTCTGTTCCCATTCATGTCAGCACTGGGCCTCATCCAACAAAGCCCTGCAGGTATGGACTGGGTTTCATGTGGTTTCTCCTGAAAGGCAGTCAAATGGCAAGGATTTAAAGGTCGGCACAATTACAAGTCTACTGGCTCATTTTATGATTTGAACTTACAACACTATAGCTCTCACAGGAGGGGAGAAAACTTCTTTTATCTTACTATGTTTAGTTGCTGGGGAACTGAATTAAACCGACAGAAGACAGACTAACAGGAGGGTAAGGCTTGCTGGTATGGATGAGACATCCTATAGCATATAGGTGGGCTGTGGAACAGCTATGGTTAGGGATACACAGCTAGCTTCGTACATGAAAGGGAAGTGGGCGGGGGAGACACCTGCAGGAAGAACAGAAATGTTTTTCTAGAAAAGACAAATAGGTTTTTAGAGGAACAAATATAAGAAATGTGAGGACTGTTTGTTTTACAGATGTAATTATCTTTTCCCTCTCCTTCAGAGGCATAACCCTGGCATGAAGTTTATTTACATCTCTCGTCTTTGCTTAGCCCCACCTTGAAGGAGAATGTATGGAAAGTCATTTCCCAGTATTTGCAACTGTTAGTCCATAAGGAAGTGCTGCTGACTCTTTTTGAATTTGTTGGTTCTCATTTGCCTGCAGCTTAAAACAATACCATGCCAGAGTGGAGCATTCTTGTGGCCCTGCCTCTGGACACCGGCCACATGACCATATGCATTACTTTTACATCTCTGAAGAGCAGTGAGAGGCTTCATACCAAACGATATGATTTTGGTGAGTTCTTTGCTTGCAAGGGTAAGAAAAGAGAATAATTATCCTAGCTATAAATTTCCAAACCATAGCCAACACCCGCCTTAACAGATGGAGTCAAATACAGTCTTTCTTAAGGTTTATACAACGTTAAAAATAACAAACACAATATTTTGGCAAGAGAACACATAACAGAGGTAGAATATATTCAATTATACTTTCTCTTGATAGTAAAACAATACTGTAATATATTTAAGAATAAATTTGGTAGAACAACTTTGAAAGTTTACCATATCAATTCTGAAGTATTGCAAAATAATATGAGAAACACTTAGAGCATTCATATCATCAGTGCATGCTGCAGTTAGACTCAAGAATTTCCTTAAAACTTTAGATAAAGGAAATGTGGTATATACAAACCATGGAACTTTATTCAGGCTTAGAAATGAAGGCAATGCTTCTCTAGATGACAACGCAGATGGATCTGTAGGACTTTTCTTAAGAAAGGAGCCAGACACAGATAAACATTGCTTGATTCCATGTATATAAGTAAAATGATCAAATGCACTGAAACACAGAGTAAGATGTTACTCTCCCGGGTGTGTGTAGGAAGATGTGGGGATTTACTGTTAAATGGTGGTAAAATACTTACTGGAGAAATCATCCATCAGGTAGTCCTAGTTCCCTGGGCTTGTAGTAAGCAAACGGAAACCCAACACAGCACAAATGGTCCTCACTAGACTGAAAGTGCCAGCCCATCTCTTACCATTCTCATGGTAACGATCTGAACAAAGACACAGCTCTACTTTATCCAATCAAATATTTTCTTAACCTTGCTATTGCAATATCCTGTGAAACCCTTCCTCTCAGGCCTCTTTGGCAGAACTCCTGAACTCCTCTGAGTTTATAGCTACACAGTTCATGCATCCTTTCTGCCCAAATAAACACTTTACACTTTACACTAATATGCCAAAGCTTATCCTGTAACCCAAGTATAAAATTTCAGTTATGCAAGATGATTAATTTTGGAATTCTTCTGTACAACATTGTTCCTATAGCCAACAGTACCCTACAGTACATCAAAGAGTTATTAAAAAGATTAGTCTCATGTTAAGAGTTCATACCACAAAAAATATATTAAATATCTGGGCCAAGAGATAATTTTATAAAGAATCAGCATATTCATTCAATCTTCCATCTATAGTATTCCAAGATGTGCACAAATTAGCAGTCAAAAAAGTGTAAAGTTTAGACAAATATGACAACGATTGTTCTTTTTAGATAACAGGAGTATAATATGGACTAACATTCAAAGCTCACTGTGCATTAGGTTGTCTTGCAAAGATTATTTAAATTAGCTTATTTAATTCTCTTGGCCACCCTCTGAGTGTCTTGCTGCTGTATTTCATTGTTGAAGAAATTCAGGTATTGATAAAAGAAATGAATGAAAGACATTTTCTTAGAGTATGCAGCTGTAACCAATACCTGAGATTTGGTAATTTCTAAAAGATAGAAATTTATTCTCTGTAGCTCTGGAGGCTGAGTACAAAATCAAAGCACCAGAAAGCCTTGTGTCTGCTGACGGCCCATTCCTCAGACTCAGCATCTTGCAAGGCAGGCAGGAAGGAAAGGCAGAAGGGAGGGGAGGGGAGTAGCTACTCTGAGACCTCTTGTCAGATGAGTGATTCCCTCATGGGGTTGTCATCATGACTTACACCACCCCACCTCTTAATACTATTCATTATCAATTAGGTTTCAACATCCTGATTTTGGAGACACATTCAAACCGTAGCAGACATAGTACAAAATGATGAAATAGTTGGTTAAATCATCAGGTAATCACTGAGTTAAATCACTCATTCAACGAATATTTTTTGAGTCCATCTTACTCACCAGACACTTTGAGGCCTGGGAAATACAACTGTGAGAATATAGAAATGTTTTTGTCCCTAAGGGATGGAGAGAGAAACATAACATGGAATGTGATAGGTACTGTGACAGGCTCGAAAGGGTCCAAGGCGGTAAGGACCCAGTGTGAGAATGTTAAGCTGAGAAGTGACAGGGCCAGCTGGGTGGATGGTGGGATAGAGAGGAGAAGAGCATCCCAAGCCTGTAAACGGCACTGAGAAGGCATAAAATGGCTACACCAGCAACTAGAGGAAGGGAAGAGTGTGGTGCTGAGACCACAGTTAGCAACAGGGAGCAGGACAGGAAATGCATCAGGAAGGCAGGGTTGGGCACTATCACCTGAGGTTTCATAGGGCGTCTTACAGGTGCTGCTCCTTATTCAAGACCCTCATGGCAGAGCATTCAGGGACCTACAACAGTTGTCTGACTGAAGAACACTGACACTCTGGGTGAAAACAGTGGCAGGTGAAAAGAACAAAAGGTGTGGTTGAGGCATGTCAGTTGGATTGCGATGTGATTGGTCAGGTAGAGGACAGGTAAGGGAAAGATGGATTCTTTGGTCTCTACCTTGAACAACTGGGTGGACATTTAAAGCAGGGGGGATGATGACTTCAGCTTTGGGTTGTTCAATTTGAAGAGCCTACGGAATATTCAAGTGGGGATATTGAAAGGAAATTGGATATAGATAGATCGATAATTGATCTTGATATTTTGAGCTTTCTAAGCTTAGGTTGTTGGAAGTGGGTGGCCTTATAGATAGCAGATAAATATTTGAATTCCATAAATCTGTGAGAGGAAGTCTGGAGTGAAAAAGTGAGAGTCCAACAGTGAAACAAAACCTTAGCAAATGCTCACTGAATGAACAGGAAAGGTTGGAGAACACAGGACTGGCAGATAAGGTCTTTTGCTTCTTTTTAAGCAACTGGCAATCCAAACTAATATGATAAACTAATACAGGGACCAGGGGAGTGGCGGGTGTGAGAAACATAGGAGGACAGTGGAGTGAAGGAGCTAGTGGTAGGATCGTCAGAAAGAGCTTCTCAAGGAACAAGGTTCCAGTTGGATTTTGAGATGACCATGGACCCCATCCAGGAAAAGAAATTTAACAGAGAAGGGAGGAGAGAGAAAGGCACAGGGAGACATCACGGTATCTATACATAAAAAGAAACAAAAGAAATAGAGATGGTCATTTCTGACCTCACAGAACTTACATATAAATGTTCAGACTAAAAGCACAGGGAGCAAAACCTGTGAAATATTTAAAAGGATTTAAAATATTTATGGATTATGCAAATTAATGTTGTGGACTGTCTGCCTGGAATGTAGAGGGAGCATTAGAATTGCTGTGCTATTCCAGGGCTAGTTAGGGGATGACTGGGAGGAAATAGGCTAGCAGTGACCATGTAGGGCAGGCTAGAGATGTGCATTTCTTAGACACAATTGAACATCATCACTGAAGAATTTAATTGTCCTGTAAATATCTTTGTTGTCCATTCTGAAAAAGGTTTTCAAAGCCTAACAACTGCACTTGAAAGGTTTCCCCCTTTACTATTCATTATAAATGTAACTCGTAATTGCTACAATGAGCCATAATTACCTAAGGGCAAATGGGATGAAATCTAAATGCCGTCAATCTCTCCCTTAATTAAGGAAGGCAGCCCCAGGGAAGGGGGTCCAGTCATGCTTGCTTTTACTTAAGCGCAGAAAGGACACTCAGGAGAAGTTAGAGTACACTATCATAGTTCTAAGATTACTAATACAATAAAAGGTTAGCACGGAAAAAGCTATTATTGCTGCTACCTTTGACTCACATCCAAAACCTTGAATCCCGACCTTTTCTATCATGGGGTGCAGTAAAAATCCCTCTTCTGTCTACCAAATGTAGAAAGAAAATGACTTTACCATTAGATCCAATGAATGGATTTCTTAAATATTCTATGTATTTCTTTTCTCTTCAATTATATAGCAATTGTTTTATTTTCCTGATTATTATTTTAATTTAGAAGGGAAGATCATTTTCACCCAGTTTCAGTGGAGGAGACAAAAAGAAATAGCCTTATGCTTTTGTACAGAGAATGTAATTATGAAAATGTAAAGGATCCTACTATGTTTGCTTCCTTCTTTTCCAGGTGCTTTTTGTAACTACTGAAGTAGTTATAAAATTTCCTACGGAATTATGTAGATTATTTGCTTCTGGTTGTGAGAAAAATATGTCAAAATTGAACTAAGAACAAGAGGGATGCAGATCTTCTCTCTCTCTCTCTCTCTCTCTCTCTCTCTCTCTCTCAGCAGTGTCTTCAGTCTCTCAGGAGGCAGCTGGGCTCCCCAGCTCAGGGCAGGGTGGTGGTGGTATTACATCATGCAGCCCAGGCTCAGCAGGAGCACCTGCACATGTTTGGACATGGTAACGAATGTTTCACTTTTCCTTCAGTAAACATGGTTTCATTATGGTCAGAGGGGCTTAGGAAGGTCTTCTGGTGAGTTATTCCTAAAGAAGTGTGAAGCAGACTCACTGAACATTGGCTACCCACTTGTCCTAAGTCTGCTGAGACAGAGCACCCACAGGTTACAAGTTACATGCAGTGGGTTTTTTACTTACAGACAGGCAGGAAAAGACAATGGAAGTTCAGGTTTCTTGTGAGTTGGGCCCCATTGCTCAGGAAAGCTGCCCAGGAGCAAGTGAATCTTGTCTGCTCACACCTAACCTGAGAGACCCAGGAAGCAGTGGCCCCTAGGTTTTATGTCCTAAGGGAGAACATGACAAGATGGATTAAACTGTGGGTATACACTGAAACCTAGGGGGCTCGACCAGAGCCCAGGATGTTCTGGACAGATCTCCTGTTCTTCAGGTGCTGCTCTCCCAGCACAGCACATTTTAACATTCTTTTTAAGGACAAAATAAGAGCCAAGATAGATTATATAAAGGAACAAATTTCCAATGACTAATGTCACAATGTATACTTAAAATGTACCAATAAAACTAATTAAAAAAAAGAGTAAGAAGCGAGAAAGTGGATGTAAGGGGGTGAAGATTTCTCTTCTATGTATTTTATGCTATAGTTGGGTTGCAAAGCATCCTGTTCTTTTTGCTCAAGAGTGTAACATTTTCAGTAAGATAACTGAAGGTTACAGTACTGTTGTATGACCTGGAGAGAGGTTTTCAAAGCAAAGTAATGCATGATAATTGGTAATAAAAATATTCAAATCACATCTAACAAAGGTTAAAAATTATATTTTTCTATTTCAGTTTTCTATCCAGGGGAAGGCATATT